CCGTGTGCAGATGTATATATGTACACGCAGATAGTGTGTGGGATGGATATGTTCACCCGCTGTACATTGGTTGAATTAGGAATTGTACTTTCGTGAGCACTAGTAGGATGCTCGTTATGCTATGCACATGGCACTAGTTGTGCTTTATTGAATATATGTTTCTTTGTCCATGCTACCAGCTCAGTTCGAACCATGAATCATTGTGTGTCCTATAATGCTGTGTGGTTGTACTGTGTAAGTGTTTCCATACCTGTGATAGTCACTGACTTGCAGCAAAATCTTCGGATTACCGTCTTGAACTGTTTCACGGTAGCACATCCCCCAGTGCATCATACCGCTAGGATTCGCTAGAATTTTTCAACATAGAAATCCTCGAAAGGAGTGCCACGACAGGCGTACTAGTAGATCTAATACAATAACAGGCCAAGGGATACAAGACTTTATATATTTGACCCTACTGTATCATAGCTTTCGAATAATCCAAGTATGAGGTGAATCTGGCTGCAGATAGCCTCGGATTGCATTGGCTAGACCTTCTAATACATCGATAAATAGAACACGCTCTATATCCATCGGGTTGAACTCATTATTCCTACCAAAAGGAACGACGCGCGCCAAAATGGCTTTTTTAAATGTTCCCCATTCAAATATCTTTTTCACGTTCCAAAATCCTCGTCGCGAGAAATTTCAGCGCGATCTCGGATAGTCCTCGAGGATCTATCAAATCGAAACACATGTCCTTGTTTCCGCTAAGCTTCTTCAGGTAGGAGGGTACTCGCGGGACCGGGCGACGCAAGTTGGATGGACTCCCAAAGGTAGGGTCCTGGTACTCTGACCAAGTGCTGGGAAGGTTTGCTAGAGGCCGTGGAAACTCCACGTATTTCCAAACATTGCCAAATGCAAGGATTACGCCGATGGTCGTGAGCGTCGAGTCTCCCATAAAAGCAAAGTAGGCTTGACGGGAGATCTGCATCGCCGCGGATGAAAAGCCGTAGTTTTTGGCCCGCAGACTCTTTGGCTTGATCTCGACCAAACAAATAATCTTTTCACGTACGATAACTGGCGGCATAGAAGGTGGCAGCTTGATACGGCGAAGGATCTGAGCAAAGTCAGGGACAACATGTGCATGGGGCACTTTGGCTTGAGTGCGTCTTGGAGGAGTCCTTGGTTCCGAGAAGAAGGGGGCACTGATTCACTCCTGTTACCCCCACTGCGGCCACGTCCGGAAGAAAGTGAGTCAGGCGGAGACGGGTCGAAGGATCGAATTAAAACATGTTGTGGTGCAACGTTGCAGAAGAGATCATCCCCAATTGAACCGGGGAATGTGTACCTTTCAAGAGCGCGAGCTCATACACAGTACCACAGAAATTCTCTATGCTCAGCATTTGCTGCTGAGATCGCCGTCATCAAGATGCCGTCGGCCAGCATAGATGTCTTGGAATCCCTGGACCCTTGTATCGCAACACCGGAGGGCATTTGTTGAGACTGAATCAACGGAGCAATGTACTGAGAGGGAGCCCCTGATGAGGCAGTTCATCCTCTGGGCCCTCCAGAGGGTCCAGCGTACCATTTAAGTTCACGTCTCCCCCACGAAAATTCAAGTTGTCCTACCCAGCCCTACAACATTATAAACAAAATTTCGGCTTCTGGCTCAGCGACCAATGGCTCATCGAACTTGGAAAACACACATACCTTCCTGAGGATCGTTTTGACCCTTCACTTGACGAAGATTTCTGGATGAGAGGTGTCGCGTACATCTGCGAGACTGTCAACCTTGAAGGTCTGACCTTTGAACACTGCTTTCAGCCAAAGACGAACGGCGCACCTCCTCAGTTCCTGGATGCCGATGGAGAGGTGCTTGTTTTATCTGTGTGCGATGATGTCGAGGACGACATCCCTTCGCAGCAACAGGTAGATTATTTGACGAATCTTCTCGGTAGACCGCCGCAGTGGTGGGTCAATATCTATCCGCGTAATGATTGGGAACGAACGTAGAAATATTATATTTTGATGTCGAGCCTCCGCCACTGTTGACTTGGAATACTATCTCAGGCTGTACATGACATAACCACCTGTTCACCACGCGGTTAAGTTGCTGTACTTTGCTCATCTGCCGATCCCAAGATGATTGCAGTATTCGTGTGATACTCTCTTCAATTGCGCAGGTACTTGTCAATTTTCAGAGTTTGCGTGCACGTAGTACTAGTTGGTGTCGCACGTGCTGTGTCACGTGTGCATAGAGAGTCCAGTATTCTAGAACTTCCAGTTTCAAACTTTCAAGTCAGTCTCCATTTCCTTGAAGTCGAGATTCGCACGTCGCGCTCAAGAAGGCAGCAGGATCAATTCTTGAGAACATATTGATCAAAAGTCGTGTGGTGTCCGTATTGTATGCCTTGAATGATAATTTGCAACGCTGACCTACTGATAGCTTCCGAATAATCCAATTTTGAGGTGAATCTGGCTGCAGATTGTATTGACTAAACCTTCTAATACATATCAGTAGGAATTGCTCTATATCCATTGAAAAGAACACAATTTTGACATCAAAAAAGACGTGTGTGCCTTTCTTCCCCATTTCAAAGATCCTTTTCACGTTCCAATATCCTCTGCGCGAGGTACTTCAGCGCGATCTCCGATAACCCTCTAGAATCCGACAAGTCAAAAGAAGCATGTTTGTTTCCACTTAGCTGCGATAGATAGGAGGGTACCCGCGGGAGCAGGGATTGCGAGGGAGACTGTCTTCCGAAGGTAGGGTCCTTAGACTCTGACCAGCTGCTAGCAAGGTGCATGGGAGGCCGTGGGAACTCCACGTATCTCCAAATACTGCCAAATGCAAGGATTGCGCCAATGGTCGTGAGCGTCGAGTCTGCCATAAATGCATAGTAAGCTTGACGGGAAAGCTGCACCTCAGCAGTCGGAAAAGGATCTTTGGCTCGAAGGCTCTTTGGCTTGATCTCGACGAAGCAAATAACTTTTTCACGTTCGATGACCGGGGGCATCACAAGCGGCAGCTTGATACGGCGAAGGATCTGAACAAAGTCAGGGACAACGTGACTGTTCTTCACTTTGGATTGAGAGCGCCTTGGGGGAGTCCTTAGTTCTGAGAGTGAGAAGATTGATTCACTGCTGCTAACCGCGCCGCGGACGCGCCCGGAGGAAAGTGAGTCGGGGGGAGAAGGGTCGAAAGAACGAATCAAAACGTGCTGTGGTGCGACATTGCAAATGAGAGAATCCCCAATGGAACTGGGGAATGTGTACATTTCAAGAGCACGAGTCCATACACAGTACCACGGAAATTCTCTATGCTCTGTATTTGCTGCTGAGATCGCTGTCATCAAGGCAATGTCAGATAGCAGAGATGTCTTGTGATCCTTAGACCCCTGTATTACAACGTTGCGCGGCACTTGTTGGGACCCTGTGGACGGGGCAGTGTACTGAGAGGGAGCCCCCGATGAAACAGTTCGTCCTCTATGCCCACCAGAGAGTCCAGAATGGGCAGGGGCCATGGAGGAACTGGTTGACAGTGCGCGAGAGCCATCAACACGCAGATTATGCGGAACTTTCTGGCGTATCTCAGCTGCAGGGGCTAGTTTTAATGGAGGCATAAGCCCATTGGAGTCTGAATCGGACTGAATGTAGGAAGAACTCGATTGCACAGATTGTGAAGCACCCGGGGAGCGGTCATGGAGTAATATCGTATTGTCGAGGTTGTCATGGGGTCCACGAGAATACAGGGGAGATTGTGGGAAATGCTCGCGGAGAGCATGATAACGGACTAGATTGTCCGATGGAGCAGGTGCTGGTGAGCGGTAAAATGGACGTTGAGGTGTGTGAGGGGAAACGCCTGACGCCGAAGACATACTAATAGATGATTGACTATCAGGAGTGTGTGGCGAATGGAATCTATGAGAAGAATGTTGTGAAGTTGGGGTGGATGAGACTGAGTGTTGATGGGAATCATAACGCTCACGATCCATGACTCGGTACCACTGAAAGTGAGAGATGAGTTTGAAAAATTGAGCGGGTTTTATACCTTCAGCATAGCATGCTTCTCCAGGAAGAGCAATCGTACGCCGTCCACAATGGCCTGTGGACTTCATTAAAAAAGAAACACGAGACCAAATCCAGTTAATGTGCCACTTGGACCTGGCAGTGGTTTACTGTGGTTTTTTTTTTGGATCAAATTTCTGTCTATTGGGGGTAATGTGCCCTATGTCGGACAATACTGAGTAGTCTATAAGTTCCTGTGGAAGTTCATGAGGGATGTCATTGTTCCGAATGTCGGATCGTCATGATCGGCTTGTTGACCACAGATCCACGCCGAAGGAGCATAATAGAAAGGGCCATTGTTGTTTCCGAGTCTGTGGGCGATCATTGTTAGTCAATCAATCCACAACGAAATTCAGGTGACTGATGCTGATGGACTTCAAGTTGTAGATGGTGGCTGTGCCATTTCACCAAGTACTTAAAAGCAGATCGGCGGCATATGCTACTTCCGAACGTTGATCCCTTCTTGCATTCGCTCTGACAGAGTCTCGACTGAACAAAAAGCATTACATACATTACGATGTCTGCATCCGAACTTCTACGCCAATCGATGCAAAATCTAAGGGTGAGTCTGCTTCTTCTTGTCCATAATTCCTCGCTGACACCACACCAGGTTGTTGAAACGAAGTCAACCCTACCGCCCCTTGTACCCTTCAGATTCACGGTTCGCCCACACAAGCTCAAGCTCTCCTACCCGCCCAGACAACGTTACAAACAAAACTATGGCTTTTGGCTTAGCGACGAGTGGCTCGCTGAACTCGGAAAGAACATCCGCCTTCCTGAGGATTCTTATGATCCTCCCACTCAAAAAGATTTCTGGAAGAGAGGCTTCGCGCATATCCGTGGATGCGTCGACATTGACCCTTTGACAATTGAAAACTGTTTTCAGCCCCAGACAAATGGCGCGCCTACCGAGTACTTGGATGTCGATGGAGAGGTGGTCGTCTTATCTGTGTGCTCTGATGATGAGGACGAAATCCCAGTCATCCCTTGGCAGGAGGAGGTAGATTATTTGGCGAACATTCTGGGTAGACCGCCGCAGTGGTGGGTCAATATCTATCCGCGTAATGATTGGGAGTGAGCGTAGAAATATTTTGATACCGAGTCTCCGCCGTCCGGCGTTGCAACGTTGAATACTTAACTTGCACATCGCATTTATAACCACTACGCTGTTCAAGCTCAAGTTACATCTTCGTGGTAGACTACCGCAGTGGTGGGTCAATATTTCAATATCTAGCCCCGCAACCTTCCCAAGGTCGAGTTTGGATATAATTCAAATTCCCACACACGTTGATGCCAACCACAATATTTCACTATATATAATCACATGTTACAGTACACACCGTGGACGGTAGCACGCGTCGCACGTGCTGTGACACGTGCCACTATGAGTACCAAGTCGAAATCAGAGGACGAGCGGCCTTTTCGTGACTTTTCCCGCATCGCTCTCAGCCTGCCATAGGTCCCTTAAATCTGTCGCAAGTCGCTATTAAGTCGTAAAAATAAATCCGTTGTTTTCCTGATGACTGACTACGTTCCGGATTGAACTTGAAACTTGTATGAAATCGTCATTATCTGAGAGCGAATATATGATAGTAAGTGAGAATCTTGGCTTGCGCTGCTCCGTTATGACGTTACCCAGTAACTGGTCCAAAATTAGGCCCTGCACGAGACTCAAGACGTCTGACTGTTTACAGGATTGTCACCCACTGATAACTCCCATGGCGGTATAACGCGGACCGTTGGTCTTATCAGCAGCCATTATAAGCTATTGGCTCTAATCGTGTTGCTTTCCTTTTCGACTCAGCCTTCTCGTCCCAAATCTCATCACAGAGCGAAAAGCGATTAACTGATGGCAACTATCGCGAACTCTGTAGCTCACCCTACCGTGGTTTCGGTACGCAACTGCGTCCTGTTCACCTGCGGAAGCTGACAATTTAGCACTGCACCCCTAGGCTGATCCTTTCGTGTAGGTTTTTGGGTTGATGTGTTCATATATTTTAACTTATGTCGATTGACTGCAAGTCCTGCAAGAGAGCAGAAGGTTTGTTCCGCGCTTCACCGTAATTGCAGCATTTGTTAACATTTTTCAGAACCTGCACAACCGCTGGCAGTAAGTTGGTATACTGTTCGTTTCGTAATCGATCCCATGACCCCGTTCGCAGTCCCGACATTCCTGCTATTGCCACAGTGAAGCCCGGACAGGTGTGTCACGATAGCCTTGGATGAATATATACATCTGTCTTACGTTCAATTATTTGCACAGGTGTTTAACGTCGAATGTGTTGACTGGACAGGAGCACAAATTGGTAACAACGATAGTACGTATACGGGCTTACGCCATCATAAGGATTGGATTTAATTTTCGTCAGCGAGCGATGACATCAGAGACGTAGACTTGACCAGCGTTCATAATTTGTCCGGTCCAATCGCTGTGGAGGGCGCCGAGCCTGGAGACTGTCTGGTAGTTGACATTCTTGATGGTATGTCGTACCTGGTTACTCCCCTGTCTTTTTTTATTTGTTCGTAGTCAGACCGTTTGACAAGATGCCCTGGGGCTACACCGTAAGGACTCTCACAGAAATGATGATTCAGCAAAGCGCCTAAAGTGCAACAGGGTATTTTCGAACTCGAGAACGGTGGTGGATTGTTTGGTGAGCGAACACAAATACCATGGTTCACATTTTTCTAATCAAAATTTTACGTAGCTCGCGAATTCCAGAGCAGAGCTGCAAAGGCTATCTGGGATTTTAAAGGTTTGGCTCTTTCTACGATACGCGTGCAATGTAATGACATGTCTCTAGGCGTCTATGCCACTTCAAGGCACATTCCTGGCGTGCGCTTCGCTGGCGTGTCGCATCCTGGTTTGATTGGCACAGCACCGTCCGCCGAGCTATTGGCAACCTGGAACAAGCGTGAAGGTGCCCTTATTGAAGCTCATGCCAACGCAGTTCCACCCGTCGCCTATGGCCCATTGGTACCAGGTGCCTATGTCGGCCAAGACCTTCCTAATGATCTACGTGCGAAAATCTACCGCGAAGGCGCGCGGACAATTCCCGGTAGAGAACATGGGGGCAACTGTGACGTAAGCTTCCTCTAAATCAGCCCTTGTCATCTCAATCGTAGTAACTGTCTGCATCACAGATTAAAAACTTGTCAAGGTGAAGGAAGCTCACTACAGGCTTTCGTTGTTCCTCACATATTTTGGATCAAGGGGCTCGCGTTGCTATTTCCCTGTTTTCGTGAAGGGTGCAAACTTGTCTGTTGGCGATCTCCACTTCTCTCAAGGAGATGTAAGTATCTTGATTACGCAGTTGTGCTCATGCTAACATTCATGCAGGGCGAGGTAGGCTAGAATCCATCAGTGTGTCGATGATCTGAACGAACGCTACTTAGCTGTCCTTTTGTGGCGCCATAGAGATGGTGTGGAATTTCTGCAATCTTGTCCTGCTTTCACTAATGTAGCTTCTAGGCTGGAATAGTTACCTTCAGCACTAGCATCATCAAGGGCGGTGTTGAGAAGTTTGCTATGAAGCAACCCATCTTCCTGGTATGTATTTGTCTCAGGTGGCCATTCACCGGTGCTGACCGTCACAGCCCTCTCCTGTCGATCCGTTATACTCTGCAAAAGTAGGTGCATAGGCACGTCACTTATTTCAGTTGCTAATCCAATTGCTAGTTGATCTTCCAGGGGATCAGCGTAGACTACCGTATGCATGAACACATCGAATGCCATATCATTCATTATTGACGATAATAATTAACAGACGGCGATGGTACCCAGTACAACATGGATGCGTCAGTGTACTTTCCCTTGATACACTGATGCATAGCTCATTGACTCTAATTAGCACGGTGGCTTATAAGCAGGCTGCTCTGAACGCCATCGCTTATCTTATGAAGATCGGTTACAGTAAGTCCTGCGTTGCGAAATGAACCATCTACTGATCAGCGAGTGTAACCGTAGCCCGTGAGCAAGCATGTAAGTGTATGTTCTGTGAGAGGAAAAAGTCGCTCATTTCCATTCAGACCTTTTGCTGTCTGCTGCGCCGGTGGAAAGCCATATTGGTGCAATTGTGGTAAGTCAAGTCCAATTTGACTTCCTCGATAGTTTTATTCAATTTTATCTTAGGACTCTCCAAATGCCTGCGTGACTCTCGGTCTCCCCTTGGGGATCTTTGAACATGTGAGTTCGTTGTAATACATGTAGCCTATTTTACTCAATGATGTGTAACAGGACATTTTACCCAAGGATGAAGGTTTGAAGAAACTGGAATTCGGGCAATGTGCTGTGCGCAGCGATGGCGTGCTGTAAAAGATGGCCAAGACTATGAAACCTCTGCATAAACCAGTCCACAATGATGTATTACAATTGATGTTACACGCACAAGCATTTTATACAGTACTATACGGAGGGTTTCTTACCCTCACCCCGAAAGAACAACAATCTGAAAAACCTCTCATACACCTGTTCCCCCTAGACTCGAACAGCGAGTTGCCGCAAATAGGCCGAATTAGTGTTCTGTGACATTGAGTCCGCGAGGAGCAGTCACGTGCCACTCTGCTTTCAACACCTGTGAGCCGGGTTTGACGCTACTGCACACCCACTCAAACAGTCCATCATTCTTTCCCGCACGGCCTCCAGTGGTTGACCACCTCGCATAACACCCATCTCCTACCAGCACCTTGCCCGAGTCGATGTCAGCAAGGCCTTCGGGCTCTTGCAATGTGACTGTAACACGAGGGTCTGCAGGAAGCGGCAGAGATGTGCGAATGACGACATTGCTGACGGGCTCGTGGTGCGTATTTTTGATGGTGGTTGTGATAGTATGCGTCGTAATCGCCTTACCGTTTAGCACGGTGAAGTCGGGTAGTGAGTTGACAGCGCGGTTGAACTGGGTGGTCACCGCGGGGTCAATACCAAGAGAACATTGGATAGTTTGTGGTCGGTCGACACTCTGCTCCGATGTGCAAGGTAATGGTTTCGGAAACTGAATATAGGAAACAACGTACCGTGATGTCGCTGTCAGAAATGTGTTTTCCATCCAGGTAAGTGTGAATAATGCCCGGAGTTAGTACATAGTCGCTGGTATTCGAAATTTCGCACTAGAATGATGGAGGTGAAGCTGATACGATGACATAAACGAGACACCACCCACAGTCCAAAAGACGCGGTTATCAACGCTCGGTACTGCGACTCTTGTAAATAACGCTTTCAATGGAATGGTTGCTATGAGAACGTGATGGATCTCCCCCGCTGTACGACCTGGAATGAACACTTTTGAGGTCGCTATGTGAGTAATGGCTTTGTCGAGCTACGAAAGATTATTGTCGGATTTGCTGGTAGTAGGAAACAGTCATGACGCACCTCTCCTAACACTGTGCGTTCTGATGACTGCGCTGAAGCGGGAAAGATATTCAATGGCTGAGACTGCTGCAAGTTTGGTGTTGGTTTATTGAAGCCAAGGGTGCTCTCTGTGGTGGCACCCCCGCCAAAACTCAACATACTTGAGTTCCGCGCAGTGGATGGATGTGGCGATGATGGCACAATCCTTGAGGAAGTTTGACCTGCTAATGTACTTGATTGCACTGGAGTAGATCCAAAGAGACCCTGAGTTGTGGCAGTGGGTTGTCCCTGTAAAGCTCCAAAGGAACCCCCAGCTGCGGAGGTAGATTTCCCCCCGAAAGCTCCGAACACGTTGTCCGCTGCAGGTCCCTGCGCGGCCCCGGTCGAACCTTGGCTGGGGTCTGCTTGGTGAGGAACACTCTGAAAGCTTCCAAATACTGTCGAGGACGGAATATTTCCAAAAGGTGAAGCATGTACCGGGGCGTTCCAGAATGGAGTAACTTGGGTCCTGACCGCCGGTTGATGGTAGGAGTCAGACTGAAACAAGGACCCTTGTTGCCTTATCTCCATCTTCTTCGGCTCAGGTAGTCCTACTGAAGGAACACGGGGCTTGGCTGTTGTCACTGCAAGCTCCACATTGTCCCAATTCTCCCCGGTAGACTGAGAGATTTGGCATCGATAAGTGAGAACGACTGATGAAGAAGGGGCACCGTCAATGGTTGTGACATGTATTTCGTATACTGGCTTCCAGGTAGCGCTAACCCCTAGTGAGGACTCAGTGAGACGAAAATGCGACAGATTAACGGTAAGACAACTCACTGTACTTCAGTTCCAGCTCAGCGGTCGTAGCGGTGCGGCCAGAAACTGGTGCAAGAATAACAGTGGCTTTTGTCGTCAGGGACTGGGACTTGAGGAGAAGTCGCTGGGTTTCTTTAGCTATCTCCTTCTGAATATCCTTGATCTGCTGGTCAAGCACCGCAATGACTTCGGATCG